AATACTTTAAATTGATTAAATAAATGATTTTTATACCCTAATTCTCAATTTATTTAATAATGTTCGAAAAATTGATCGCAAGAGAAGAACAATTATACAGTAAAAGTAAATATATAATAATCCAATTTTAATGTTTTGACATATTTTTCTTAACTTTTCTTATATTATGTAATGAAGTATAGAGTTAATAACATTTTTAAACATTAATATGATATTTGTTTTTAATATTGCAAATTTTGAAACTGATTACAAGATTTTACCACCTAAAAAAGGACACATATGAATCAACAGTTGGATAGGATATTAATTAAATTTGAATGAAATCTAATAAAACCGTCCTCTTTCTTCCCCTAGTCACATACATTTATAAAACTGACTTCATGAAAAATAATGTTTTAGTAAGGCTTAACACATATGGAAACATTTTAAAGATTGTTGTTCTTGATTAAGGTGAATTAATTACATATTACTAACTTTTAATTATTTACTACTTTTTCTCCCACATTTTAAAGTTTTTACATACAAGAATCTATAATCGACAGCAGTTAAATATAAAAAAAGCATTCTGCAATTCTTCATTCTTGTATAAAATTATGAAGAGAGCAAAATGCAGGGTTTATAATGTTTTTCAACGTAAGCAAGTTGTAAGTTTGCTTTCTCAGTTATCTCCGACAAAGATTAAAGCTTAGTTAGCCTGTTAAAACTTAGTTAAACCTACTTAGACAAAGGGAAAATGTTTTTTCCATTGCTCTTAACTCGCTTTCCTTGATAACGTTAATATAAAATCTTTATTCTTAAAAGTTTAATTGTAGAGGGCAACAAAAAAACAATAATTCAGATTTGTGATTTTTCCGCTATACAAATAATAGGAACGTAGCTAGTGCTTTAATAAAATAATGGCTTGTGATTTACTTCAAAACATTTAAGACTTCTGTTCTAGATTCAGATAAATCAAGGACAGATGACCGATTATTAAGCTATTTTAAGGAACTTAATATATTATTTTCTGAAAGTATGAACCCGTTTAAAACATAATGAGTGGAAATATCACTTTTTATAAAATATATTTTTCATAGTATGTGTATGACTAAAGTTTAAGATGAGATAGTCAACAAATTTGAAGTGTCATTCCACCATTATATCCGTCAGAACCAAAGCTGACTTTCATAAATAGACCAAAAATTTATATTTTTTACTCAAAAACAAAGATTAGACCATATATTCTCCGTAGAGATCCAGCTAGTTGAAACAAATATAAACTACTTTTTAAAAAACGATATTAACAACATTAAAAAACAACTTACAAAAAAAAATTTTTTTACTATGTAAAAAAAAACAACACATTCAAATTTTTCTTACTTTTTGCCGTTATAAAAAAAAAACAATTTGTCCAAATTAATAAAAAAGTAAAACTGTTTTTTGTGAATCTATATCTGATACATAATATTAACAAATATCGAAGATATATAAACTGACTATCTTTTTTAAATGGTTATCTAACATAGACTTACTCTATTTTTATTAAATATTTCGTTCTATATACGCGGTAAAAAGAAATTCTGGAAAATTATTGTATGTCATTGACATTTCCAGTAAAAGAAAACCTTAATTCTGGTTTCGAAATTCTGGTAAACTGAAATATGTAGATTTAAACAATTCTGCTGGTAATTTTTCTATTGAGATGTAAACGATCTACCAAAACTTCTGGTTTTTAAAAATATCAGTCCTTATTATATTACACATTTAGTAAAATATGCAAAACTAAAAATTAAATTAAACCGCATCTTAGATGGAGGAAACTTTTCTGGTGAAATTACCGTAGTGTATCATATTGACACTTTGCCGAATTAAGGAAACTAAAATATGATATTTAAACCATTCTTTTGGTTATCTGATGTTTAAAACTATATATCTTATTACCACACAGTAAAATATACAAAACTGAAAAGTAAATTTTGAAACAAAAAATGGATTTTATGCCATGCTTTAAGGTATGATAATAGCATTCACATTTACCAAATTTCCCCATGTATTATAAAGCCATATTTTATTGGTAATTTTACCAAAATCATTACTAAAGCACATTGGTAATAATCTCTGAGCTTTTTGGTTCTCCCATAGAGCAGGAAACGAGGTGCAATATTCGAATAATTTAGACCATTCTTTTTTTCTCAGTGTACATATGTCAAAATTTTTGCCCCAGCATGCAATTCATAATGAATCTCTTACATATTACATATTATTGAAAATATGTTATTTTTAGAAATATTTTATAAAAAATAAGTTTGTGTTGCTAAATTTGGTTAAAAACATACATTACTAAAATAAATTGAAAAAAAAAAAAGTTACATATATTTTGAAAATTTTTATATCTGTCCTTGAAGATGACGTTATCTTTAACGATGCATTTTAATATGTTTTCTTTTCTAGATTTTTTCTGCGTGATTTCCGCTGAAAATAATTTGTTTATTTTTTCCTGCAAAAGATAAAATGAAAACTTAAGAATTGGAACGACAATTTTTATTTTGCTTACATTTCATAGAATCTAATATTTCATTATCCCTTTGGCTCGCAAGTTTGTTGCCATAAAATATTTTCAGGTAAAAATTGATTTTCAAAGTTATTCAGAAATTTAAAATTGAATTTTCTTCGCAAGATTTTAAATATTTGCGTATTTCACTGGTATTCTAAAGTAATTCGGCTTTTTGGTACATTTTATTTCTACCATTTTTATAAAAATATTTAATATTTAACTTATTTGTTTCTTAGCTTGAAGAGTAAGCAAAAACGTTTTTTTATGTCAATAGCTTTTTGTTTTGCTTTTACATTTCACTCTTAATGCTGTTGACGATTTAATGTTATTTAAACTCAGATATTTAATTCGTACTAATTCACGAAAGGTAAAATTTAGCCTTTTTTGGAACGTGGGATTTTAAAAATAGCTCATGGTTTGGGTAGGTTCATTCAGCTAGATTAAATTAAATTGGCTAAAAGGAAATAAAAATGATAACAAAAAATAATGAATAATTTAATAACGTTACTGGAATTTTACATACTGTTAAACATAAGATGAAAAAAAATGTCTTTGTTAAAAAAAAAAGAAAAACTACATTTCTAAAGAAGCTAAAAAATATTTTCAAATAATTAAACTTTTATCAGCTTTTACTGTTTGAACACCCTAAATATTTAATTTCTGAAACAATTTCCTTAATTTTTAAGCTTAGTGAGGCGTGAATTAAGGTTGCTTAAAGAAATATTTCTGAAATACATTTGTTTTTTTCTCATATTTTTTGAACCCATGAAACTGTAATAAATTACTTTATATAAATCAGCATAAATTATTTTATATTAATCCTTATTTATGTAAGCATTATTAATAAAATTTTGCAATTTTTTGAATTTCTTAAAACTTTTTATTTCTGATATTTTGTTGAAGATGTCTAAAAAAATTGTACTTGAAAATTATTTTGCGATCTTTAGCACGCATTAATTCTTAATATAAATAAGACGAATTTTTAGCAGAAATAAGTTGTATCTGTTTTAGCACAGTGACTGCATTTTTAAACTTTTCAATTGAAAATCCTTTCAAATTGTTAGAAATTTTGGAAAACATAATATTTTGTTAAGTGGTTGCAACTTACCTAATTGATTCGTTTTGTCGTGTAAATTAATGCTTGTTAACTTTGATTCCACAGAATTATGGTTCTATGTGAACAGGAAAGATGCTTCATTTCAACACGTAGTTTTAGTTGGAGTAAATTTGCTCTCTTGCGAAGTTTATTTATTTATTCTGAGAGAGTAATTTTTTAGATTATTCAGTTTTTTCTTATTTGAATTTTCTTATTTTTTTACAAATTTGAATCCATAATTATATTTATCACCCAAACCTATAACGTTATATGCATCGATCTGTCACATAAAATACAATTGATCTTGCAAAGAATAGTTTTTGCATGCTAATAACTTTAGGACTCTGAAGAATTAAGGACTTTTTTGGTAGAATCAATATATCTATATATTATGCTTTTAACTAACATACAAATAGTATGAATTTTTAAGCTTGTTATTAAAACATGCAAAAGCAAAATATTTTAGCTATTATATTTATTTTAGGTGTTAAAACTTATATATATTTATATGGCATTTTAAGGATTCTCTTTAATTTTTTTGAATGCTACAATCATTAAATTTTAAGAACAACAATAAAAATAAGTTCTAATAAATTATCACATTATAACATTTGACAGGTAAAAATTAGTTATGGAATCTGTTTCCCATAAATTTGAATATTAAAATTCCTTAAACCATAATAATAATTAACTTTATCTATCTGAAAAAAAATTGTTTTGTGAATTCTATTTAAAGGAAATACTCTTATATTAAGTGTAAATAAATACAATGGTCAATTTTTTTCCCGAAACAATTTATTTCATTTGAAAAAAATTATTATAATTCATTTTGATCTAAGTTAATAAAGGAAGAAAATTACACCCTAAAAAAATCCTTATCAAATTAGGGCATTAAAGTGCTGGCACTTAGGGTGAATCATCCGTGAAATCTAATTTTTTAAATACTATACAGCAATTTTTACGGAAATATTTTTGTAATTAGAGTGGTTCAGTTATTTTACGGCAATTTTTACAGTAAAATTGTGGCTTATCATATTTTTGTTCCTTAACATGTGACAGAAAGATGGATTTTACGGTAAGAAGTTCTGGCATTCTTTTGAAATAATTAATCAGGGTTTTTTTTACACTGTTGAGAAGAATGTTTACTATTTTACACAGATTATTTCTTTATCATTAAATAATTTTGAATAATTTATTTCCGACAAATTCATTACAAATTATGTTGTATTTAAATATCGAAAACTGAATTTTATTTAATTCTAAAAATAAATTTTGAATTTAAGATTAATATTCACGAAAATGCATTCAAAGCTATGTAAAATAGTATTATAACACGATTTTGTTTGCATTTTTACACATTCAAAATGTTGAATGGGTAAGCTTTTGATATGTGTAAAGATGTTTATTTAACTGTTGTTTTCTCTTCCGACAAACCAATTTCTCCTCCAGTTTGAGATGTGAAAAATTGTGTTAAGGAAAAATCTCTATAGAGCAATCCAACCAATGAATGAACAGAAATATTTTTAAAAAACAAGATTTTAAAAGTTTTTCTCTAGATTTAATGAAGACAGTAACTTACTACATTGCTGCAAGAGACCATTTGACACTCTATTAAATTACCTGACCACAGGAAACATTTTCTGAGAATTCTCTAGAAAAAATCGTGAATTTTTTGTGCTTGTGAAGCACGTTGTTTTTCAGATAAAATTATTTGCTGAATGTTATGTAGTTAACTGTTTTGAGTGCAATTGATACTTATTAGAGATTCCTTTTCTCATAATGAGAAAAAAAATAGTTGTTAAAGCCTTTTGTTTTCATTTTAAACATTATAACGTAAATAAATTCTTAATTAAACTCACTAGTGTTCATTAACTGGTTAAGCTAGTTGTGGAAAAAACAATGAGAACCTTCATTCATTGGGTTTCTTCTATATTGTTGTAATTAAATAGAATAATATTAATTTTTATATATATCTGACTCATATTATGAATCAAAGTTCTAATAAATACTGAAAGAAAACAATTCTGAAGCAGGGATTGAGCAGACATGTCACTCAATTAAGGTTTGAGAATTCATTTTTCTAGTGAGTGATCAGCTTTTTATTAGACTTTAACATACTAATTAGCTCTGAGAAATATAGAGGGCTTCAAAAATTGAGTTGAAAGTAGCATAAATAATTGTCAAAGTGATTTCGCCATAATTAGCCAATTTAATAGTCAAAAAAGTGAAATGAATATAATTATGACTTAATTTATACTTTGGATTATTTTTAAAAATGTACACGGCAAATAAATGTATGGTCAAAACTACCAGAAGATGGTATAATTTACCATGTTTCTGGATCTATGGGAACATCAAAAAGCACGATAATTTTTATCATAGCACATCAGTAATTATTTTGGTAAAATTAATAATTAAATATGGTTTCTTAATATGTGATACAATTTGATAAATGTGGTAAAATTCGGGCAAATTATCATGATACTTTAAAGCATGATACAAAAATTATTTTTTCAGCTACATTTTCTTTTTAGTTTTGTATTTTTTTGATAAAAGTGAATTAGTGAAAGTGGTAATTGGAACTATAATTATTTATCAAAGTTAAACCGTTATCATACAAACGGAATAAGTTATGAAATAAATGGTTTTAATATCGTATATTATGGTTTAATTAACCAGAATTATATTGCTTTTTTAAAAAACGAGAGAAAAACTCTAGAAATGTCCTTACCATACAGTACGAAAATCTTAGCAACATTTTTTCTCTTTGTTGGTGAAGTGTTTTTAAAGGAAATTCCCATTAAAAACACAGTTTCATATGAAGTAATTCTAACTGGCAAACCTTGAAGAAGATAATTTTGAGAGTAGTTTCGATAATTTCTGTCTTCGAAGAGTAAATTTCTGATGAAAAAAAAAATGAAGCACTCGAATGAAAAAAAAAATGAAATCTCTACCTCAACACACAATCAATTTGACCTGAAGATGAAATTTGATATTTTCCGGATTAAATGTAAAAAATAAGATAACGATTGATATCCCTCATTTTGTTTCTGTGCTCTCTTTGAAGTATTCTATAATTTAAGCGAAGAAAAATAAAAAAAATATTTTCTTTTTAATTGACATTATTTTCTGATATACATATACATAGTATGACCTGGTGTAAATTTTACGCTGTATAATTTCACGACCTAGATATTTCCAGAATTGGAGTAAATTTTTTCAAATTAATTAATATTTTATGACTTATCAGTCATAAAAAAGTCATAATATGATTAGAATATAAAGAGTTCATTTACTGAGAAATTCTGTGTTTATTCACTGGTAAGAAGTGTTCACTTAGTTAACTAACTACTAATTATTAGAACCTCCAAAATATTACAGCAATTCTATACATTGTTTAATGATTTACATTTTACAACAAATGCTTTGTCACTACCCTCACCCCCCAAAAAAAAACATTTTTAAAACTATTATAAATTTTTATGAAGACAAGCTGTGCTGAATTAACGATTCGCAGGTCGGTCTACAAACAAACTAGCTCAACTGCAAAAAAAATTTCAGTTGATGTTAATACGATAACATTAATTCCATATATTATATTTTTACATTAAAAATGTTTATCAGCTAACTTTAAATATGTTTTTAAAATATTTTATCATTACTATTACTATTTTAGGTAACATCATATATTGGTCAGAACTTCAAGGAAAAACTTTACAAATGCACATTTATCAGATATTTTTAAGAAGACTTTTAAAATATTTTATTAATTATTTTATGTAACATCATACATTGTTCAGAATTTCAAGGAAGAACTTTAAGAATTCTCGTTTATCAGCTAACTTTAAGAAGATTTTAAAAATATTTTATTATTACTATTATTATTTGAGATAAGATCATATATGGTTCAAAACTTCAAGGAAAAACTTTAAAAATGCACGTTTATCAGATATTTTTAAGAAGAGTTTAAAAATATTTTACTATTATTGTTATTATTATTTTAGATAACATCATATATTGTTCAGAACTTCAAAGAAGAACTTTAAAACTGCACGCTTGTCAGATACTATTAAGAAGACTTTAAAAATATTTTACTATTATTATTATTATTAACATTTTAAGTAACATCTTATATTGTTCAGAACTTCAAGGAAAAAACTTTAAAAATGCACGTTTATCAGGTATTTTTAAGAAGACTATTAAAATATTTTACTAGTATTATTATTATTTTAGGTGACATCATATATTGTTCAGAACTTCAAGGAAGAACTTGAAAAGTGCACGTTTATCAGATATTTTTAAGAAAACTTTAAAAGTATTTTATTATTATTATTATTATTTTAGGAAATATCATATATTGTTCAGAACTTCAAGGAAAAACTTAAAAACTGCTCGCTCATCAGTTAACTTTAAGTATATTTTGAAAATGTTTCATTATTATTATTTTAGGTAATATCATCTATTGCTCAGAACTTCAAGGAAGAACTTTAAACTTCCGCCACGAACCCTCCAGTCGAGTCGATTTCACAAACTCTAGTGGTACAACTGTACTTTGCACTGCTGATGGCCAGCCAGTACCAGTTATTCGTTGGGTAAAGCATGATGGAGAAGTTCTTCAAGATTTACCTGGTCTAAGATACACGCGTCATGATGGCTCTCTTGTATTTGAGCCATTCTCGAGCGAAGAATACAGAGCAGATGTTCATGCTTCTATTTATAGATGCGAAGCTTCGAACAGAGTTGGCGTCATTGGATCAAGGGATGTTCACGTGAGAGCGAGTGAGTAAGATTTTGCTATAAATAATAAAACCACTAAGCATGCTGAAATATATGTATCTTCCGGCTTTTCTTTAGTATAATTGACATTTCCTATTTTCAGCTAAGTGGAATATTCGCCCAATATAATTTTAGAAAATATCCAATCAGAAAACAACATAGGTGCATCAAATTTTGGAAAATATTATAAATACTTCAATTTCAAAAAGAATCCATGCATGGGTAAAAATATTTACAGGTCTTCACGGACCATTAAGCATGCTTAATTTTATTAATCTATTCACTTCACTTTAGTGTTATTGACACTTCTTATTATCAGATAAGTAGTATATGTTCATTAGTTTCAATTTATTATTATATTAATGGAAAAAAATAATATAAGTATTTTGAATTTCTGAAAATACTCTTAAGTACTTTTATTTCAAATAGTATCCATGCATGGGTAAAAATATTTACAGATGTTTGAAGAAAAAAAATTTTGACCAAAAGAAATTTTTAAAAAAAATGTAGAGATTGTTAAACATTTCTTAAAACATAATATAAAAGTTAAAAGTTGAGAAAACTTTGCAGTATAATGTATCTAAATTATTCTCTATTTGTATCTTTTTTCGAATTTAAAATAACAATTTATATATATTTCGAAATATTTACAATATAAACAAAAGTCTGAAACCAAAAATATAAAGGACCAGAGCATGCTTTACTGGCGATTGTATGGTAACTGTTTATAATCACTATGGCTCATAATTTTCGACGTAGCTGCTTTTAGCATCATTATTTTTCAAGAGTGAATTTTTATCATTATATATAGGTAACTTTAAATACAAATAACTCGGAAAAAGTATTATTAAAACCAACTAGAATTATATCTAAGCCAACAATGAATTAAATCTGTTATAAATTACAATTTTATATCATGTTGTTTGGACATAAACTCTAGGTAGCTGAATCCTATCGCTTATTTGCTACTTTTTCAACTTTAAATTTTGTAACTATCTCAAAAGTCAATGTATTAAATAGAGTTTAATGTCAAAATTTCGAACAATTTTAATATAAATTGTTTAGTTACATGTTTCAGTTCTGCTTCACATCAGCACAGAAATTTAAAAAATACTCTTTTCTAAACATTGGCTACTGGTATTTTTATTATTTTCCTTACCCTTCATAGTTATTAGTATGCACCACCCTCTTTAGTTTTATTCTAATCGATGCAAACATGTTTTGGATATTTATGTTTATTATTTTTAAGGATATTTTGAACAATTACTTCAAGACCAATGAAGCATATTCCCATTTATATATTAAAATGGTAAACCAATAGTGTAATATTATTGGTTACACTGTAATAGCGCCTTGCATTATTGTTTATTGAAATATTTTCACATAATAGAATCTCTGCACTCAAAATAGGCATTAAATTAATTGTAAATCATAGTATTCGTAATGCCAAGTTCCTAATGATCCTTTTGTGTATGTTTCCTCTCAGACTAAAAGACTCGACCTCAATGCGTATTTAAATAGTTAATGAATTGATAATTATTTAAATTAGTACTTAATCATCGTTTTTTCATTTTTACTGAAAGCTGTACGGTTGTTAATTAAGCAAAACTAGAAAAGTTTCTTTCAATTCTTTGGAAAACAATGCCAGAAATGGTACAGAAATATCTTGTTTAGAGTTTAAAAATAATGAATTTTTATTTTCAATCGATTAAACTTAATTACTAATTGAAGTCACTGTTCTCCTTTCTTGTTATTAAGTATCAAATTCTAAGCTGGAGTAAGCATTTATCCCTTAGAATTACAGCATCACTTTAGATTGAAAAAGTTTAATTTCAAATTGCAATTTACACTTACAATTGTTTTCAAGTGAGAAGAGATTTTCAATGTTTTTAATTAGTTTTCGAAACTAATCTTAAAATGAAGTTGAATGCTCTTGACTAGCTGCCTGCTTGATTTGAAAATTTGTAACAACAATGAAATAAGTGAAGTTAACTATTTAATTGGATTATAAAGCGCCTCAAACATAATTTTCTACGTGTTAATTGCATTTTGTTGTCAATTGATTTTAGAAGTTTTTGCGAGTAAAATACCGACAAAAACAGATGTATATAAACTACTATATTGTTAAATATTGATTACCTGTATCATTAAAAGATTATTAAAACGCGTGTAGTCGAGACAATAAGATTTGAAGATAAGATTTCAAGTTGAATGCGTTTGACTGATGGTTTGATTTGAAAATTCACAGCAACAATGAAATAAGTTAACTATTTAATTGGGATGTTACACACGTAGAACATATTTTCCTGCTTATTAACTCTGTATTGTGTACATGCATACATTATTTTGTTGTCAATTGATTTTAAATATATTGCTTATGAAATACCGACCAAAACCGAATTAAATAACTGATCTTGAAAACTACTATATAGTTAAATAAACATAACATGCCATATTAGCTAAAAATCCGAATTGATTATTTAAACAAGTTTAGTCAAGACAATAAGAATTGATGGTATCGCAATTAAGTTATTAAATAAATTTTAGAAATAAAAATTGAATACTTTTGAATAACTGAAAATATGAGGTAACAATGAAATTATCAAATATACTTTTTTGATATGGATGCACAAGGACTCTTCATGTGCTCTTTAATTTTTTTTTTTTGTAACAATTGTGCATAAATCTAATATTTTGTACTATACTTGGAAAAAAGTACTACAAAAGTATATTGTCCATAAAAGACAGGCATGGAAACATCTGGTGTAATTAAACTTTTATCTATTTCTTTTTTCAATGGCTTTACCGCTAGCAGTGGGCCCGGGCTTATCAAATAGCATTGTTTCAACTTCTTTATTTTAGTTTAAAATGGTCATTCTAGTTATTTGAAATGTGTAGTGGGAAATAGTTATGTTTTAGTTTGAATAATATTGTTATACCCTTCTTTATATAACCTAACTATCTCTTTTTGTATCTACTTTTTGCGTTTTGAGTTCATTGGTATCCGATTTAAGACCTTCAACCCCCTTATTTTCAATTATTCTGACTTTATGGTCTCACCAAGAAAAATTTTTCAATTTTTATAATTAACGGATGCTTTTCTGTTTGATTAAACGGTCTAGTTGAATGTTGTTTATAATCAGTCGCTGTGATTTGTTTAATGTACTTGATGCAAAATTTTTGTTCTAAATATTAATAAATTATTCACATTTTTATTCGCTGAAGTCCAAGTTTTACTAGCATTAAATACTTCTTCCTGGTTACTTTTTTGTAAATTTTCATTTCAAGTTGGGTTGTTCTTGAATAAATATTGATATAAAAAGTAGCTTTTTGTCTCATTGCATTATTTGTATCCAAAATATCATTATCAATATTTATTGGGTCATTTTTAGGGAAAAAGTCACATAACTGAAATTTATTTTTATTTTTATAAAACCTCTCAAATCCAATCTAATAAATGTCAAAATTAACATGATCGTAATAAATGATCACCTTTCTTAGGAAAATTTTATTTTATTTTATAAAACAGTCGTTGAACAGCCGACCGGATTTTAAGTTTATGACTACCTATGTCCTACTCCGTAACCTAGTACTTTTGAATCCAAACTGGAAGACAAAGGAACTCCTGGATCAAGTATTGCGAAAAATTTGCCTCCGTGGATGACATTTTGATGGAACTAATCTGCCTTTACTCTACACGAAGAGGAAAACCACGAAAATATTCCGCGGTTAGTCTGAAAACAAGGGGACTCGAACGCATGATCCGTACACCACTGTGATCGGCGTGGTCAGGTTGCGAAATTCGTTTCGACCAGCCATCCCTGGAATTCGAACCCGTTCTCTTCATTTGAGACGAAAGGAAAGTCCGAGCCTTAATAAAGCTTCTTCTGATTATAACCAAAATACCAGGTACATTTAAAAATGATTGAAAAATATGCCATGTTTCTTACCTTTACCAATGCCTAGAGGATTGTAACATCAAAAGTATGACAGGCATTGATCATGGTAGCGTTCAATCTGCTCCAAACTGAAACTGCTCCATTTTGGTACAAACAGCTCCAGTGAGGGAAACCCCTCCCGTTTTCTAGGGGATCGAAATTCAGGGAAAAACCAGCTATTCAAAACAAATGCCCTAATATCAAAAAACTTATCTGCTTGAAAATTTTTTCATCATAAATTGAGGCATTATATTTCTGCAAATTTCTCTATAAATGGCTATACATTTATTTCTAGCATTTTTAGATTGCATGCAAACTTCATGCTGCCTGGGAAAAACGCCACGTTGGGTTTACCAACATAACCAAAGTCCACCTCTGCCGTTTTCTCCTCTGCCGTTTTATTTCATAAAATGACACAGAAAATTTGCGATATGCAAAAATTAAGCTGTGTCCTAAGTTGAAAGCCTCAGTTTATGTTGAAAAACCTTCATGGAAATAATTTTTGGATAACAGAATGTTTTCCATGAATGTTATGCCCTTCTCTTTAATTTCAATCTCCTAGAAAATGGAAGGGCTATACTCTGTAGGGCTGTTTATACCAAAAAGGGGCACTTTCTGTTTCAGAATTGAAGCATCATTTAAATCTACCATAATATTGATGCTACTGTCCCCTTGGTATTGGAAAATGATAAGCATCGCATATTTCAAGCCACATAAAAATGTGCCGATCATTTTGGTTATAATCAGAAGTCACTTTATTTCAATTTTCTCTTCTTTTTTTCCTTATTAAAACTGGCGTTTTTACTTATTCCAGCTCTAGTTGGGGCAGGGTATGAGTTACTCTTTATAAATACGTGTTTGAATTTGGTTTAGTTCACATTGGTTTTCGTTACGTCCAATTATGGCATAAAATGAAGATGAGTTTATTTATGTGAGACACACTCTAATTCAATATTCAAATGAAATACTAGTGTTATTATAAGATTCATTGCTTTCAGGAACTAATTTAACTTTATTTATGTCTTCAATAATATTTAGTATCACTGTTTAAAGAATGCTAAATTT